CATTTTATGAATAAAAGACTTAGAAACACTGAATACATTAACAACCAGAAAACTTAAAGAATAAAAAAATAAAACGTGACATAGTATATATTGTGAAGATGCATAGAAGCCTATTGATTTAGGAACATTCATAAGCGTTTCATTAACTTAAAAACCATTCCAATAACTGGACAAAATTCAAAGTCACAACGAATTTCAGGTTGATACACAATTGCGTTTTCAACAGTAGTTAGCAAACGGATTCTAATTTCTTGACAAATGAAACACTTGTCATACTGTTTACTAAATGTATCGTAGATTTGTCTCTTTAGACAACTGCATTTAGTATAAGTGTGTGCAGTGTTTTTCGAGAATAATAGTTTCCGAAGGATTTACCATCAGTTTGCCCAAATATTTGCTAATCTACTTCAATCACATATTCAGTATTGAAAGTTTGGGCGTAAATGATACCTTATGTACAGTTTCTTGCTCAGCCTTCCACATTTACAATAAATATCGGTTGAGAACATATTTATGGAACATTTTATAAGAGTTGACCACGTTGAAAATGCATGAATTTATAAATCCACTAACCAGATAATAAAAATTAATAAGGACGTTTTTATGATGATTAGGAATATTTGAATTATAGTATGAACTAAAAATCCCGGAAATAACGTAATCGGATCAAGAAGTACTAGATAAGCACGAACGAATGTACTGTATTCGGAATTCGAAATCAAGCATTCAACAAGTACAAAGGAATCATTAGTTCCTTCACACACTACAGTTTGTCAGTTATTTTCCATGATAATGTATCGCCTAGTAGCAATCAATATCATGTTTTTCAGGCTTTAGTGTTACGTTTAGTACTTCACCTTCAACAAGGGTTCAAATCCTACACGGAGTATTAACTACCTCAAGATTATAAACATATCTTGAGGACTTAAGCCTAAATGTAAAACTTCCTATTGGTTGTCTCTTTTCGCTAAACATATCTTTATGCGATACAGAACCCTTTCAATAAGAAGTATTGAGATCTAAAACCTCAAATACTTGGCAAGAAAACGAATGATTTCAGTGAACTTTTTTATATATTTACGGCTATCTGTAAAACCATCCAATGGAAGATGAGCAAATTTTACATCGAAACTCATAAAATGAATATTGCTCCACCGAAACAATTGAAGAAAAGAACTTATCGTAAGGAGACTAGCTGATAGATCTGTTAAAGGGAACCTATTTCATCAGTATTAGTGAATTTTCACACTATATTTTTAGATCTTATTAGTCGGAAAACATTGATTTACAGGAATAAAATAGATGTAAAGCATAAGGGCAACTCCGGATAAATTTTTAAGTTATATATGATATGAATCGAATGTGAAATTTGCTTACCATTAGCATTAATCAGAAAAGTTAGATGATAAATAATATTCCAAAATATTATTAAAATTTGCAAATCGCTAAAACGTCGAAGGTATAACATGATTTGATTTGAAAAACTAAGTACATTCAGCCATATATATATATATATATATATAATAACCCTATAACTACATGACATAATTCTAATGGTAGACTATTCAATATTCGTATATAAACATATATTTTGATAACGATGAACTTACCTATAAAATCAGTCTGTTTATTTTTCATATATGAAATTATAAACTTTATTCATTAGAAATATGCAGTTAACAACAGTTTAGATAAACATATTTTATAAAGATTTAAATGTTAGCGAAGTATTCATGCACTCATTATTTGCCTTACGTTAATTTTCATGGTGGAGATATGATATATAAGAATTATGGAGACAATTATATTTACCTGCCAAAACAATTAACTACAAATATTCGAAATACAACCCCTTACCTAATAACGCTAAATTGACGCGCAACTGATAACTATATTTAGTTGTCACTTTTATTTATTTAGGAAGACCTGTGTTAATAAGAATAATGTGTTTCACAATCAAAGAAAAACTGATTGACCTTATAAGATCATATAATGTTTTGTTGTGATGCGATGTTTCTTTTCGCTCCTCGCCTAGTGAGGTCAGTATGAAAAATAGACAATGGCGGCATTGAGGCTTGACCGAACCAACCGCTTGATTGTAAAACACAAAGTAGATGAGAACTGTAAAAACCGAGATAAAAAAGGCATAGTTAACCGCAACGATTCAAGTGATTTCGGGACTATTTCTCGTTATTTTGGACAAGTCTCGTTAAGCATGATACTTACCTAAGTGACAATTTTTTTTCAAAATTAAAGCAACTGACATTTAAATGGATGTTATACAGCATATGGCTCGGAAAAAACACTCCAGTAACATACTGGTATATAACCATTGTTGTTCCGACACTATACAGAAGCGAACAAACACCGTGCATTAAACATGTCTAGATTGGATTTCAAAGACTTAATAAATGATTAGCCTGAAAACTTATATATACATTTAAGATTATTCACCTACTGGATACATGTTAGTCATTTTCCAAAAGATGGATTGATTAGATATTCCTGATATAACTATACTACCAATAGTTTTATTTTACCTCACTGAATAAACATTTATTTAAGGGCTATTGGCAATACCCAGATGACCAAACTACAGCAGATAGGATGAGGTTTGAACCAGTATTTAGTGGGTCTAAGTCCAATTCTTTAACCACTGATCCATACCCCCACTTCGTGGTCATAAGCATACTCTGAAAGAGGGTAATTTTTTGAGAGGACCAGGCTCTCTGGAACCAGCACAGCTTTTAGCGGCACAATGAGGAATACTGGTGGACCGTGTTTAATATTGTGCAGCCCTACAAAAATTAGAGTAACACTTATCGTCATTATGAAGTGAGTTAGTTATAAAAGCCACAACTAGATAGTTGATCGTAGCTTGGTCATGTATGATGGTAATTCAGACAGCTGTTTCAAATAAAGTACCTTCTAAACCCAAAGAAAACGAAAGCATGATTCCATCGATTCTCCTTAGCAAAGGATAATTCTCAGTTAATATTCATCAGAAAATGTTAAAATATAGACTGGTCGGTTTACTGTAGCAGACAGCTTGCAATCACTACACGTTTCGAAACTATATAAATATGACAAAGACATCCTTATCATATACGATTGTAGCTAAGTCATTGTTATTAAAGATAATTAAAGATAATATGAAACAGTGATTGATATTTCCCTTTCTTAAAGATGACTGAAATGTTCAATACCATATTCCTGTAACTTCCTTTCCGAATGGGGATTACCTTAGTGCATAGGTAAACTAAAATAAAACTCTGCTCTTAAAGAAATTCGCCCCCAAAAAATGTAAAATTGTTAAGTCTCAAGACTTGAGATATTGATTTTTTTCGTTTTAATTTTTATCGAAGTTATTTAGAAAAACGGGACGACCCACTTCGTATGTCACACGAAACCTGAAGATAAAGCCTTTAGTCATTTTTTAAAACATTTATCCTAATCTTTACATGAGTAATTAAACGTCTTTGTCTCGTATTATTTAACAAACTACTTAAGAACGTTTAATGGTTAAAAATTCCTACTAAGGCTTAGTGTTGAAGTGGAGATAACAATAACTTTGTTTTACGCCAATTTACTACTGTATACAGTCAATTGAATTGGCACGACTATTCTTCTCTTCTATTTCTTTTAGTGTTAGCTAACTGTAATTGTTAGATATTTAGCATTTCAAACAACTTATCGACCAGTGTCAACACAGCTATTTCATAAACTCCGTAATATAAAAAATTATTTCATTACCACTTGATGGTCCCCTATTTGTCAAATTACAGTGTGTAGTAAATATAATCATTAAATCACTTTATGTCCTACCTCACTTGACAAACATACACTCTGAATGATGTTTCCCGTGAACCATAACGGTGGAGAGGAAACACATTACAAGTACAAGACATGCATAGGGGTTTATACACGCCATATGGTTATTCAACAGTCAACTTCATAAATCCCAAGTTTTCTTTCCCGAACCATCAGACTAACAAATTTATAAAGTATTTTCGTCAAAGATATTCATGCACGTTATAGCTATTAATAGATCTAAAAACTTGTGAAACGGGGTACTTATTCTGAGATACGACTATTTTTAAACAGTGAAGACAAATAACTTATTTTTATTAGCCTTCAGTGTTATAAGGACCCAAGAAGCATTAGAAATAACTTAAAGTATTATCTTGTCCCTTAAAGGTCGAGGCGAACCGCAATACTGGAAAAAAACCTACTAAGGTAACGATAAACAGTACCTGAATGAATATTACACACTAATATATTCAAGATATAAACGGAAATCGCACCGCGAACAACGTGGGCTTTATGGCAGGAGTAAAAACTTTTGATAAGTCATTTTTTGTAACTGACTCTTCTAAGGAATAAACAAGCGAAATGAAACCCAGTAATCACTCACTTAACAAGTCCAGAAATACATCTATTGTAAAGCAAGTAAAGACAGAGGAATTAAGACTTGAACAGCTAGAACAAAGAACGCTAATAAGTAGCACACAGTGTTTCGATCGGAGACATTCTACATATTCCTAACACTATTTCTACATAACTTTCAGGCCGATTCAGTGATAACTTCCATTAAAGAGGCAAGAAAAAAGACATTCTGAGGTAAAGGAATTTATCAGTGTTGACTGATTAAAATATCTTGAGAATGACTAGCAAAACACACGAATTTTAAAAATACAGAACAGTTTGTGTACAAAAGGTAACATTTAACCGTATCTGAGGTACCATGATAAAAACTTGAGCATATAGAAAATATCAAACACACATGAAATTCACGAAGTTTATAAAGTAGATACATTTAGTAGTCATGCTTAAAATTTGTTTTGGACGGAAAGATGGGATATTACTCTGAAGTCAGAGTTCTTCAAAAAAATGGTTAGAATATAGTGTCCCTGTTTTCACAGTATCGTCTTCATTAACATCTCATCTAGTTCTCATATTTTCTGTAGGGAAAAATTACAAAATTCAATAAGGAATAGTGTCTATTTCTGGTTAGCAAATACGAAATCAAAGTTAATGCTCTGAAAATACACAAATGAGCCGATTAGTAGTGACGCAAACAGAATTGCGAAAGGGTGTCCCTTAGCAAACCAGCAAAAGGCGCCAAATGCAGCTAGAGAAGCAGAGTATTTGAGGAATTCTTTCGTATAAGTTACAGTCCATATTATTCTTTGCGTGTTACGATTGCGTGAGTTAATGTTATGAACTGTTGACTGTGATTCAAACTTACCAGATGTCTGCGAAACTTTTCTTGGCTTTACATCCAACACGCACCCACTACTAGTCCGCTTATATCCACTCTTGCAATCACATTTAAAACTACCAACTGTGTTCGTGCAACTTTCTCCTTCGCTATTACAAATATTGCTGTCAGCATTACATTCGTTTATATCTTCACATACGTCTCCGTTTCCTCTTTGGTAACCGCTTGCACAAGATTCACAATCGTTCGCAGTCGAACCAGAACATTTGTTACAAGCAGGATGACAGGGAACACATTCGTAAGAACCAGGTTTGTTTAAGCAAAAATGTGTAGACCTGTTGCAAGGATTATCAATACATTCATTTATATCAACACATCCTCGTTGATCACCGGAGTCTACTTTGATCCATCCAGCGGCACACGCAGAACAGTTTTCAGGAAATGGACCAGAACAACCACCGGAGCACGACAAATGACATCGTGTGCATGATATTGGGAAGTCACTGTGGGACTGGAAATGAGTCTCAAAGGTGCACTTGTCGCATAACTCTCCTGTATATCCGTCGTTGCAAATACAATTACCTGTTCCAGAACGTGTCCCATTACCATCACACCTGCCACCAAAAAAGTAACATGGATGACATGGAAGACAAGAATTCCCAAAGGAGTTAGCAGGACAGCAAAACTTGGTCCGAGTGACGCATAAATCTTCCTCAAACCCTTGTACTTTATTAGAATCAATCCTGTATTCCCTAAGCCACCAATCTTCTAAATGATGCTCAATACTTTCTAGAAACTCATGACATTTAACTGCTTGCTTGACATCACTACAGATCCCTTCAACAATATCGTGGTAGCGCACTTCGCTAACAGAATAGCTCCCTAAGTGCTTTTCTTCCCACAAAGAATTCCCTCCTCCAAAATTTTTGCCAGCTGATTTGTGAAATCCTAAGATAAAACTTTTTGCAGCATGTTTACACTTATTGCAATCATCGTCTGGATATATAGATAATGTTGGGCATATGATATTATTAAGTAATACAAACAGTAAAAGTAACATTTTGACGCCTAGTCGTTTGTGGGTTTGCTTCTAGTCTGCAGATACGTACTAATTAAATTGCAAAGATGAATGTAATTTCAGTAGTAGTACTCGAATCAACCACGAATCCAGGAGGAAGAGGAAGAAATTGAGCCTAATAACTGATGGGTACCGTGAATGCAGTATGGAGAGGAAGTGAAAAAAGTTGGTAACAGTAGACAGTGAACAAACAACCAGTCGACGCAATTAAAGTGAGTCGAAACTGGGGAAAATATGAATAAGATTTCGGATAATCGTAAAACCAACAATACAAACCACCGCGACTCCACGTCCAGTAAAACTATTGGTTAACTTCGACCAACCTTCAATTTTGTCAATTAGGAGAGAAGAAAAACAAAACAGTTTATTATACACTGACATTGTGATACATAACAGATCATTCTTCATCTAGCTATTTCCCAAGTATTGGTAATAACAGTAATGCGAGAACAAACTTATATGACAATTGTGGAAATGCACTTGGATGTCAAGTATGAGTTGACACGGTTGTCTAGAACGAGAGTGAAAGCTCCTGAAAGAAACTGAACGGGTAAAGTTGATATCATTAAAGTCATCCAAGTAATATGCGAATTCAGTATTTTATTTAAAAGTGATTATTATTAGCCGACGAACCTGAGACGAAGAAATTGTAGTGGTGACTAAATACCCAAAACTAATGGTTTTATAAGTTTTCCGCATTGATGCTGATCTCGTTATTTTTGCCAGACATACACCTAACTGAAGATACTCACTCATTAAACCCCGAACTAACCGCCACCAACGTTAAAAGGTATGTTTACCATAACGTGGGTTTACGTAAACCTACCCATTGGGTATTTTGTTGTTGCATTCGTATAAATGCCAGTCGTTGGAATGAACCTTGGCCCACTCGTTGATCCAAGAAAAGAGGTTTAGGTAGACAGCGATACCAAATTATCTGTTTTAGTAGCTTCATTTTTTGGTCGCATGTTATGGCTGGTCATGTTTAGGCAATTAATCTGCAGCGGTAAATAAATAAATAAATTTCCGTAGGTCTTCGACGCTTGATGCTGACCTAAGTGGTTTCAATGGATAAATCCATCTGAAAGCGTTTCTCACCAGATGACGAGTAGGTAAGCCGTGCTACGAATATCTTACGACTGTTAACCAGCTTAGATCAAACGCTTACTGATATATCGATGGTCCTTTAAATATATCTTCGAACCTCTTCATTTCTGATTTGACTGGTTTGGCGTACTTCGATTAAAGAGATGTTACGTGTGAAGGGCTTGTCAAACGTCGAACACTCGAGGCATCTTTAAATTCATCTACACTTCAAACTAATGATCAACAAGTACTCTTGATTGTACAAAACGCGATCAAGATTGCGTGGTGTAACGGGCATTATTGCATATCACAGCTGTACTACAGGACCACATGAATTCTCAAAAGATCATCGACTAGCTTCTGAAATGCTTAGACCAGATCAGAACAAATTTGGTCATATAATAAAGTTAGGCATTATTCTGCCATCAAGCAACTCATAGGCATCTCCTTTGCATACGGTCCCCAAAGTGGATAACAATGACTTTTGTCCAAATGATGATTATCGACGAGTAAACACAAAAAAGAATTACGATCGTTACCTCCCGTCCCACATCCACTACCTAGTAACCATCTTAAAAGGTATGACTGTCGTTTGTCAAACTGACTTAGTGAAAGAGAGTAATCAAATTCCTATGACTACAGCAACCATTCCTAGAACGGCTTACCCCACTGTTCTGAACTTCACAGATTTCTGCTCATACCTTTCGGTCTAAGAAATGCTGTGCAGACTCGTCAAGGATTGAGTGATGACGCATTCTGAGATTTGAACGTCTTGCAATATTATATTAATGACTTCTTAACCGCAAGTTTGGATAGAGAATCCCACCTCAAGAATCTAGACCTCGTTTGCCAACAACACCAAAAACACAACTACAGTAAATGAGAAATGAGAAATATTAAACCCCGATGACCCCATCTATTTTCTTGGGCATACAAGTGAGGCTCAAGTTATTCACTTTTTGGGAAATAAAGTACTAGTCGTTCCAGAAAACCCAAAATGCACAACAGCCAAGTGATTACAGATGTTCAATGGGCTGATAAAGTTTGCTCTTTCTAATTTATCGTTCTAATTATTTTCATACACAAGATTTTCAGTGTTCTATATAGAGTAATAGAAAACATGTGCGAAATAATAAAGTAAATAAATACTTAAAGTACATTATTTTGACATTATCGGGAATTTTGACCGACTTTTAACCACTCAGCTTTCATTTTTACACAATCAATCTAGCTGGTCCTTTTAAGAGCTAGTTAATTTGGCCCTGATACTGAGAAACTGAGTTTTCTTTTATATTTCTTCCTAGTCGCTCCGTCTAGTCATACTTTCCTGCTAGTTTCTCTATTTCGCAATATAGGTCTTTTATGTTTTCTCCTTTCCAGCTTTTTTAACAATGAATTTCACATCTTCTGGATATTTCATCTGTATATTTTTCTATTGCCTTGATGATTTCTGATCTCGTTTGGTTGTGGTTAAATGCTGCTTTATTTTTTCTTCTGCAATCTTTTCTGTGCTGTCTATAAAGACCTACTTCCCACAATGTGAAGACATTACTTCTCTAGTCTTTCTTTGATTGGGTGTCCAAGACTTGGAAATTGTTGATAAAAGCTATCTTACATTCGTCGAACTTGCCAGCTTCTCAAAGAGAGGCTGTGACATGTTTATGCTTTACTGTTTGTTCAGCTTTTTGGCATTCTCTAACTTCAGTTTGATCACCACTAAGTGGTGATCCGAAGATGTATCAGCTTTATTTTAGACCTTAGGTCTTCCATTTTTCTTTGAAGGATGCTTTAATAATCGTAGATACATAAGATTCTCATCCAGTAAGAACGTTTTACGCTTATTTGGATTGCATCAGTGTAAATCCTTGTGCGTGGTAATAATTGTATGTTTTTTGCGAATTTTTTTGCGACAAATTTATTTCAACAGTATTAGGTTGTTAGCCTCAACTTTAATTCTTTACCTGGAATTGGAACCGGCAATAATCGTAGGACGGCTCTCAATGGAAACAAATAAAAGTTAATAAACAATAGTTATTCCAACTGAATAGGAGAATATATATCTGCCAATACATGAATAACCATTTTCATAAGACAGTCAATGAAAAACAATGATCAACCACTCTACTCCGTGACTGTTAGTTTAATCTAACAAAACCTTATTATCAATGGCCTAACATCCTACAAAAATAGCCTCAAATAGTACAGTTGCATTTCTAACAACGTTAAATAATAAAGACCTATTCAAAGAAAATTTAGAGATATGAAATCGTCGTTATAAGAGTCCAGGGTGAAGGTTTCAATAAAACATAGGACAAACTATTAAATGTATATAAAGACTGTTCGACAAAATGATTCGGAGGGGTTTTCAAGTGATTCTTTTAACTGTCAGCAAGCATAAATTACTGCTTGTAAACTGGCTAGTCAGCGTAAAAAGTGAAATTCATCGTACACTGAAACTCTACCTGATGAGGTTGCTTGATCGAATATTTAAAAGGGTTTGATTAAATGAATCCACAAATATTGAAATTAACACATTGCTTGTGGTTGATATGAATATCAGGGGTTTGGACATAAATTTTATAAAATGTGTGAGAAGAACTGTGTTAGAACGACCAAGAAGAACATATTTAGGACATTAAAGCGACTAAAACAGTCAAAATAGTTGAAGAAGTAGCGTGGTGTCGAGTCGAGACTAACTATGAACACCGCTACAAAGGATCGCGTGCCAAATAAATCAGAAGGCCAAGGTTGAACTTAACCAAATAAATCCATAAAATCCTCGAGAAGTCAAATATCAGAAGGCAGTTAATGGACCAAGTCGAGATATATTCGCTGGCGATCTCGTGGTATCGAAAGGATACCGAGATCGTGCCAGGATACAGGCTTGGTTACAGAACGTAACCGAATTCGCGCGAAGTCACAATCAAAGTGTAAGAATAAGAATGGAAGCACAATATAGCTGTCATTAGCACAGTCAAACAAAAGCACATTAAAACAAACACTGGTACAGTTGGTTATAATAATAATTGTTTTTATTAAACCAGTCGTGTCCTCGTGATAAATGTGAGTCACTACAAAGTAATGTGGGATGTGAGGTACTATTAACTGAAAATGTTCTTTCATTCTGGGGTAAGTAACGATACATATAAGTAAATGAGCGTCATGAGGTGGTTGCTGTGATTCACCCGGAAGTGACAAATATTCTAACTTTGTTTTTCGAGGTACATTGAATCTTCAAGATTCTTAGTAAAAAAGTTATATTCCAATTTTCGATCATGAGCTTTTATGAATTACATCTATTCCGTAAAGTTGGGACCTCCAATCAAATAGCGATTAAAATGAAATTCAGGGATCCAGATATTCAATCTTGCTTTGTGAAATATCAAACTGTTTTCCCACATAACAGTTAAAATAATAAGTTTTATAGCAAACCCTCAACATTTGGGTCTCCAGAAGGATAAACCGAAAGGGAGATGTGAAACAAAAGTTTAAGGTCAAAATTTCAAACAAAACAAGCAAAAACTTAGATTAAACAGATTTAACAAAGTACAGTGAAAGTGGATGGTATTTACAATAATGTTTGAATACTTCGAGTTCCTTATGTAACAATAACTGCGTACTAGTTATTCGATATTTTTCCGCGATGTTAAGCCGGTGTAAATGATTAAGAGCAGTAGATGTCGTTCCTTTGATTCCGGTGTTTGGTGATTGGAACTATCATGGGAAGGAATTCAGGGAATCACTTGAAACTGAGTCACTACAGGAGCCCTCCGCTAGAAAGGGTTTACACTTTCGATGAGTAGCGGTTTAAATCGTGGGACTGATCGACTGACGAGCGTTTGCATGGCGGAAGAATTGGCAAACAGGAAAGCGATCGTTGATCGTCGAGTTGCCAA